CCCCCACCCCTACTTACCTCAATTTGCAAGACTTTTGATTGCTGTGCTATAGTATGTTGCTTTTAGTATCCTATAAAGTAATTGTAACAACTTTTAAGGGGTATTCTGTTTATTTAAACTTGTTTTATTGTGCATAGTACTAACTTGTATGTTTTATAAAGTGTTTTATATAGCAATCTTTTTCTCTGGTGCTCACTCACTATTTGTATGTTTTGATGTGTAACTGCCTAGTGTGTATTTTATAGCATTTATAGTTCATTACCCACAGTCTTTTGTTTTGTTTTTTTTATATTCAAATGTTACATTTTCTGGTATTAGTCTATATCTGTCTTTCATTAAATCGTATTATAAAATCATATCTCTATGTGAATAGGTTAAATACTTTAATTTATTTTTTTATATTAATTATTTTTGTTGTGCATATATACCATTACAAACCCACCTTTCCACAACAGCATCAACAAGCATAATATGACACATAAAACATCAGTGTGGCATTTCAAGGGTGAGAACAATTTGTTTGTATTAGGTAATAATCAAGTTAGGCTAACATGTAATGGAATGACTGGAAAGATGGTTAGAGTTAAAACTGCAGACATGGTTAGCGTTTTCATACAAGTGGATTAGCATGTTAAGGTTGCTTGTATGTAAAATTAAATGTTCCACCATGTATAGAGAGATGTAAAGACAAGCTAGCCAGACGACTGCCAACCCGCGGGCGTCTCTCCCAATATGACCCCCTAGGAAGGTTACAACAGACCAGAGTAGAACAGTATAATGCCTACTGTGTCAGCTTAAGAGAAGCTGATTCATAGGGAGATAAGGAGCAAACAAAGAAATACAATTGAGCTGAGTATAAAATAAAGTTGAGTAGCTAGACTAAACATGAGAAATGAGGCAAAGCTTGGGTGTCATTCAGCGGATACCATCAACAGGTAGGTTGTAGTACCACAAGGTGGAGTAATGCGCCCAGTCCAGTATTGTGAGAGCTGCTGATTTGTGGCAGATAAACTACTCAGCCTCAGTGGCCTCACTATCCTGCAAGCGCGGAATCTTCTCCCTAGACTTCTCAGCCTCCCTGGTTCCCTCCGTGCCTCTCTATCCTGGCTGTACACTTGGCAATCTCCCTCTGCTCTGGAGTAGGCCTGTGTGCAGCCTGTTTTAAGTTGTGTATATGATCTGTAGCATATTTGCTGTTTCTGGATACTTCTCGTGGGAGCCCAAGCTTGATGGAGGGGCAAGTGTAGAGTTTCCATGTACTCTCCGTCTTTTCCTGGCAGGGATGCAGGCCCTGAGGCATTTCATCGGATGGGGAGTCCTTCGCTTTTTCTGACGGCTGGTAGGACACACCTCCGAGTGAGCACTCAATGAGGAGCAGGCTCAGTGTTCTGCTGTCACAGCTTGCTTCTTGTTCTCCGCTTGAGCAGGTAAAGCATGGGAGGGAGATCTCTGGGAAACACTCCTCCAGAACGCCCGGCAGATTTAATCGAAGCGGGCCTCAAAGCTCTCTCTCCATCTATGAGCCTCATAGACCTTCTGAGATTGCGTGAGTAGTAGTGCGGCAGCCATCTCAGGTTCGCCATGCAGGTTTTGATTCGGCCGGAGATTTTGCTGTTGCATTGTGGTAAGTTTCCCAGCGGGGACCGGGACCTACCCTACCGGTCCAAAGAGGGGGGCTGCGGGGCATCAGGTGAGTTGAGCAGAGTGTGCACTGTGTCAGGGGATCGGCTGCCACTAAGACCTTGCTCTTCCTAGGCCATATGTTCTGACAGTTATATCTTGGTTAGATGATTTGGAGACAGGTTCCTCAGGTTCCCACTCAATTCAGCAATTATTTACTTTCGCTCAAGGCTGCAAGGCGCACAATTTTAGATAGTTGAAACCAAAGTTAAGCTCAGTCATACTGGAGCTCCCAAAGAACACGTCCGGCCATCTAGGAGGTCAGGCTATGCCCCCCAGGCTAAATACCTTTTTAAATACTGCTTTTTTTGACATTTTATATAAAATATTTTTATGTATGAAATGTATTATTTTTAATATTCATATTTTTTTTAAATCATGTTTTATACTATTTTTTTATACAATTATTCACTAGACTAGAGAAGGTAATACTGGCATCATTGAAGAGTTTTGTCTAAAATGGTATTTGATAATTGGTATAACAAGCAGAAGTGGAGTGTAATCGCTAGACAGGAAAACATAGAAACCATAACACCATTTGCTTCTTTTTAAAGTTTGTCACAATTTCATGAGCTTTAAATTTTTTTCATAATTAATTAATTATTTACCATGATAGCCACAGCAGGAGGTCTACTACTATTAGAGACATCAACATTTATCAAATGCGATATCCAGAGGAATTATTTAGACAGTAACAGTCAATCTTATTTTAGCAGTGTATTTTTATTTTTAAAGAGAGAACATATTTTTTATATACTTTAATATTTACATAGTTATATAGTAACTTATGTCTAAGTATCACTTAAAGGGATACTCCAGGCACCCAGACCACTTCTGCCTGTTGGAGTGGTCTGGGTGCCAACTCCCACTACTCTTAACCCTGCAAGTGTAATTATTGCAGTTTTTTATAAACTGCAATAATTACCTTGGAGTGTTAACTCCACCTCTAGTGGCGATTGCTACTCCTGTTTCGGCTTCCCTCCACATTAATGGCACCACCATCAGCTCCACCTCACATGCTCTCTGCCTTGGAGTCTTTGACTCCAACCTCTTCCTCCTACCTCATGTCCAGTTGATCTCCAATCCTGCCACTTCCATGAAACAAAGCATGCATCCGCCCATACTTAACTCCTGGTTAGGCTAAGGTCCTGGTCCATGCCGTTGTTATCTCTCACCTTGACTTCCACTTATAGTCAAGGAAATATCTGCACTCCCATTTTCAATAAAAATCTGATTTTATTTCAGAAATAATAGTAAAATATAATACAAATAAATATATATATACCCATCAAATCAATTGTTAATACTCAATTAATCCATACTATAAGCATTATTATTTATGTACATTACATATGTACATAGTACAAAAATGACAAAGTAATTAGTTAACCAAAGTTCATACAAATAAAGATCAAAATATATAGATTGTTGTACGGGATATTTACCTAACCAGTGGACAGAGCTGGACACCCAACATTTCTGCTGCAATGCCATTGTCAAGGGTGACATAGAGTGATAAAGAATCATGCTTAAAGTATGGATTAATGGAGTATGCTATAAGCATGATTTTTTTAACCCTTTGTTACATAGTAAGCACCTCTAGTAGCCGTGTGATTGACTGCCACTAGTGGTGGTTTTTAGGCCACAATGTAATGTTTTTTTATGAAAAGGCTGCATTTACATTAAAAAGTCTGCTGGGACAGTCTATAGACAACAGAACCATTATAATAAGTTATAATGGCTCTGCTGACTTTAGTGTCCCTTTAAGTCTAAATATTGCAACCGCATTTTTAATTCAGCATTAAGTGAGTTATCTACAAATAATTGCAAAAATTCCTTATACCATTAGAAATTGTTTCTTTTTTTTTTTTTTTTTTAAAGATGTTCTTAGATGGTCACAGATGGGCCACATATTTTCTCAACTGATATGTGAATAATTAAATTCTATAAAAATTAAACATTTACCCAGACATAAAAAATTGGGGCGCAAGTGTGTACTGAGATCGGGCAGCACCTAAAATAACCTGACCTTCGGTGGGTCCCCGCTCAGATCTCAAGCTGGTTTTTGCTCATCTTGTGCCATTACATACAGAGCATCTCTGAAACATATCAGACTGGTCCCACCATACGGGCAGTCCAGATCCGAAATGCAGGAAGTTCTCTCTGCATGAGAGATACAGCAACCCCAGACGATCGTTTCAGCCTTGTTAGGCATCATCAGTGAGGCATAGCTGATATCTCCCTAGGCACCGTGAGCAAGGGGTCCACATCTGGATTATACCTTTAAACTTGTGGAGAGCAAAAAATATTGGGTTGCAAGAGTATACTGAGAACGGGCAGCAGCTAAAATAGCCTGCTGTTCGGTGGGTCCCCGCTCAGATCTCAAGCTGGTTTTTGCTCATCTTGTGCCATTACATAGAGATTGTCTGGGGTTGCTGTATCTCTCGTGCAGAGAGAACTTGCTGGCATTTCGGTTCTGGACTGCCCGTATGGGTGGGACTAGTCTGATATGCTTCAGCTATGTTCTCTCTGTAATGGCACAAGATGAGCTTAAACCAGCTTGAGTTCTGAGCGGGGACCCACCGAAGGGCAGGCGATTTTAGCTGTCTCAGAATACTCTTGCGACCTGTTTTTTGCTCTCATTTTACCCAGACATGCATCTTTGTTTTTCCAATTTGTGATAACAAATACTGTTAATTGTCAATATTAATGTTAGGGAGGTTTTGCCATATTCTTACATACTATATATTTCACAATTTATGTTTAATTGTATCTCTCTTGATTTTATACAGGTTATAGAATATCTACATCACCATGGAAAATTCCACATATTCCCATCCTTCTTTGTTGATGCTGAGCTTTGGAGATTTGACATCTTTGAAATATCTGTTTAGCGCATTAACACTGATTGGTTATTTCATGATTATTTTTGTCAATGGCACAGTTATCAGTGCTGTAGTATTAAACAAAACTTTACATGAACCCATGTATATTTTTATTGTTGCCCTTTGTGTAAATGGATTATACGGCAGCATTGCTTTCTATCCCATTTTATTTGTTAATTTAGTTTACAATTTGCAAACAATTTCCTATGCAGGATGTTTGACACAAGTATTTTTCCTTCATACGTATGGGAGTTTTGAAATGACCACATTGACCATCATGGCATATGATCGTTATGTCTGCATCTGTAACCCCCTGAGATATAACAATATTATGTCTCTTGAAACTGTATTTAAATTAATTATCACCGCATGGCTGTATCCTTGTGTACTTATAGGGCTGCATGTTATGTTGACAGCACGACTTCCTTTGTGTGGCTCATTAATAATGAAGGTCTACTGTGATAACTGGTCCGTAGTGAGACTCTCCTGTGTTGATACTACAGTGAACAATATTTATGGATTTTTCATTACTTCAAGCCTGGTGGGGTCAACAATAGTAATGCTTAGCTACTCCTATACTAAAATACTGAAAGTGTGCACAAGATCTTCAAAAGACGTATTAAACAAAGCAATGCAGACCTGTGGCCCTCAGCTGATAACTAGTGTTAACTTCTTAGCTGATATTGTTTTTGAAATTGTTCTTTATCGGTTTACACCCACAATTATTCCATATAATGTGAGACAGTTTATGTCCATGCAGTTTCTTGTAGTGCCCCCGCTTCTTAATCCTCTAATCTATGGAATTAAAATAACTGAGATGAGAGTAAAGATAATTAAAATGTTTAACATGAATAAGATTAACATCAAATAGATTAAATGTCTTTACACAAAATGTGGATTTTGTTCATCAAAGGTAATCCAAAGATCATGGAAATAAATATCAAATACCTTTATACAATCACCAGAAGACAGTCTGGCTACTCTCCCACATTGGGACCAAAGGGATCTACTCATCTATTGCGGTCTCTCTAATGTAAGCTTACTGGGTCATGCCATTTTTAATGTATCTCAATTCATGCTGAAGTTTTATCCAATTGTTCACCCACCACTCTAACAGACTTTGCTGTATGCCTTAGATATACACTATTAATTCTAAATGAACAATCCAGACACGTAAAGCACTTTATCTTGCGAATCTGCTTTATGTTCAAAGTCCTATTTTTTCAACTGAAATTGGCCCTTTTCTAAATAAACCTTTTTATACCTCTCCAGCTATCATTAAGTCAGCCAGACCAGGTTCTTCTTGTGTTTTAGTTCAGTAGAGCTATTACAGTTATTATTATTTATTTTCTGGTCCCATGGGTAACCACAATTTGTTTTTTTTCTGTCGCTTTTACTTTTATTCCTTTGTTCAATATTTTGTATCTTCAAACCTATCTTTGTCTGTTCAGTGACCAGCTCGTACTAGCATGTAAAGTGTACATACTGAGTTTCCTTGCTATACATTTAAGGGCCGATTGTATGCTCTAGTCAGGTCCTTAATCTCTGGGTCTGAATATAGTCACGTTCTGAATATAGTTTCATAGTTACATTGGCAGAAAAGAGACCTCAAGTTTAATCAAGTTCAGCCTTTATCCTATCTGCTTTTGCTGTTGATCCAAATGATAACAAAAGAAAACCGATTGAAGAGCTTTCCAATTTTGCAACAACCTAGGAAAATCTCCTTCTTGGCTCGGGAGGGCAATCAGATCTCACCTTGGACTAAGAGGATGCTATCCCACATATTGAAAATTATATCCCTGATTATGTTTTTTGCAATTATTTATCTAGATGCTGTTTAACCCCTTAAGACCGGAGGGCGTACTATTACGCCCTATTTTAGGCGGCTCTAAACTCCGCCGGGCGTAATAGTACACCCTCTGTTTTTTTTTTACTTACCCGCAGTTGGGGGGACTCACAGGGATCCAGGCCTCAGATCCAGCCTCCAGCAGCCCCTCCGGCCATGTGAGAGTACGGTCTTTGCGAGGACCTCACAATCACATGGCCAGGTTAGCTGCCTGCTGTATTGCCAGGTAGTCCCCCTTGCTGGCTGAATTAAAATAAAATAAAAGTTAATAAAGTGTAAAATATATATATATATATATATATATACTTAGATCATATATATATATATATATATATATATATACATACACACATATACTGTCTAGGTGTATTTTACTATTAATATATATATATATATATATATATATATATATATATTATCAAATTACACATAGACTGATACTGATTAAATATATATATATATATATATATATAATTATTGTTTTTTATATATTCATATATAATATCAAAAAATTAATATGTAAATACGTTCAAATTTTTTTTTTAAATAATTAAAAATAAATAATAAAAAAATATATAGATGTGTGTTATTTAGTTCTAACTGTATTGTGATATATATATATATATATATATATATCAAAATACACATAGAACAAAATAATATGTATATCTATATACATAAATATGTACGTATATATCACTATATATATATACCAATATCATGAGCGTCCGCATGGGGGGGCAAGGGGGGGGCACTTGCCCCGCCCCCTGGATTTTTCAGCTTGTTCTGCTATTTTGTGTGAGATTTAAAATGAACTGCAATACCGGCTGTGTATGGAGAGAGACAGGGATAGGAAGCTGCATCTTATCCCTGATTCTTTCTGCTGATTGAAACCGCAGGGGAACAACACATGCAGCCAGAGACAGCCTACAGATCAGGTAAATGAGGGATGGGGGGAGGGTTTGAGAGGGGGGCAGCAGCCTATAGATTTAGGGGCAGCAAGTCTATAGGATTTAGGGGCAAGTTGTTAAGCCCATAGATTTGGGGGAGAAGCAGCAGCATTTAGATTTGGGGCAGCAGCCCATAGATTTAGGGAGGGGGGCAGCAGCCCATAGATTTGGGGAGGGTGGCAGCAGCCTATAGATTTGAGGGCAGCAGCAGTCCATAGATTTGGGGGGGGCAGCAGCCTTTAGATTTGGGGCAGCAGCCCATAGATTTGGGGAGGGGGGCAGCCTATAGATATATAGAAATGAACAGGAAGGGTCAGCAAGGAGCTGGAAGGTAAAGCAGCACAAAGGTAAAGTAGAAGGAGCAGAAAGGGTCAGAAATGAGCTGGAAGGGGCAGAAGGAGCACAAACATAAAGTAGGAGAATGAGCAGGAAGGGCCTGCAAGGAGCAGGAAGGAGCACAAAGGGACAGCAAGGAGCACAAAGGTAAAGGAGCAGAAAGAATCAGAAGGAGCACAAAGGTAAAGTAGGAGAAAGAGCAGAAAGGGACAGCAAGGAGCACAAAGGTAAAGTAGAAAAGGGAGCAGAAAGGGTCTGCAAGGAGCAGAAAGGGATCAGAATGAGAAAGGAGCAGAAGGGCGCAAAATAAGCAGAAAGTAGCAGAAAGGTAAAAGAGCAGAAGGGGCCAAGGATAGAAAACAGTGTCAGAAGAAAAAAAAAGACTGTCAAATGAAGGAGAGGAAAAGGAGATTGGAGCAGGAAGGACAAATGAAGTGAACCCTCCACTTTATTCTGGACACCACATCATAAGGCTTTGGTACCTGGGCCTGGCAGGGAAACGCTGGACCTTCTCATCTCCAAAGGTAAAAAAATATCGGTGTTAATGTGTTCACTTTTATTTACTGAGTGTCAGGAAGCACAGAGTGCCGTTGGGTAGGGGTGTTGCTGATTGGCTAGAGCGGTCAGCTGGCACTCTAAGCCAATCAGTAGCTCCCCATTCATAAAAAAGTAAAAATATTTTATGAACCGGGAACTAGCGATTGGCTTAGAGCGTCAACTGACCACTCTAGCCAATCAGCGGCACCCATGCCTGACGTCAATCTGCACTTCCTGACACTCTGTTTCAGAAGCCAAATACCACTGAGCGACCTGGAGCTGGAGGAAGCCTTTGGGGTTAAACCATTTGAGAGCGATTTAACCCCTTAAAGGAAAGCGAGCACCCAGGGGCTTCCTGGCATCATAGCATTTTCATTTAGGTGAAGTTGTTATGGTGACCAGAAATGTCCTTTAATTTGCTTAAAGGAACACTATAGTGTCAGGAATACAAACATATATTCCTGACACCATAGTTGTGAAAACGCTATTCACCCTGGCTTTATGTGATAATGGCTATGCCCCTTCCCTTTCATGACACTGTCAAAAAGGTACCAAGCAGGGATGTCATTACAATTATGCCCCTCCCTCCCCCCGGAAAAATTCCTGCTGACGCCCATGACCAATATATAAATAAAAATATTTGAAAAAAATTATATATATATATATATATATATATATATATATTAATTCTACATATATATTTATGTAATATTTTTACATAATTAGGTATCTTAATCAATTACAATTAGCGGGACCTGCCTGACAACCCGTGCCGAAAGTAAAGGGAATTTAATTTGCTAGCACTATATTTAACCCTATAACTTTCTAAGACACCATAAAACCTATACATGGGGGGTACTGTTCTACTCGGGAGACTTCGCTGAACACAAATATTAGTGTTTAAAAACAGTAAAATGTATTACAACGATGATATCGCCAGTAAAAGTGGCGTTTTTTTCATTTTTCACGCACAAACAGCACTTACACGGACGATATTATTGCTGCGATACTTTTTACTGTTTTCAAACACAAATATTTGTGTTCAGCGAATTCTCCCGAGTACAACAGTACCCCTCATGTACAGGTTTTATGGTGTTTTCAAAAGTTACAGTGTCAAATATAAGGCTTGTGTTTCATTTATTTCACATTAAAATTCGCCAGATTGGTTAGGTTGCCTTTGAGACCCTATGGTCGCCCAAGAATGAAAATTACCCCTATAATGGCATACCATTTGCAATAGTAGACAACCCAAGGTATTGCAAACAGGGTATGTCCAGTCTTTTTTAGTAGCCACTGTAACAGAGTGTTGGGGATGGTGGTCAGGGGTGTATATCTGGCACCCAGACTTTTGCACAGCCACTATCCTGACATGTGGGTAAGCACATGCAGCCCCAGGGAAAGTTAAGTTTAAATGTAGTTTTTTTTCCTCTGTTGTTATTTGGGTCCCTGGGGTGGAGTATTCGGAAGAGCAGGGTGGGCCGATTCTCCACCCACTGTCAGAGTGGTTGTGCATGAGTCCAGCCCAGGTTTCCCATAGAGTTCTGGCTCACTGCCTAACGAGGTCATTAGCCTCACCTGTAGGGGCTGTGAGCAGCTATATAACTGCAGTTAAAGCAGGGTGAAGTGAGGGAAGTGTTTTGGAGGAGAAAGAAAGTGTTTTGTGGAGAAAGAAGATTTGCTGTTCATTGTATCCTGTTACTTCACAACAACAGAAAATAAACAGGCCAGAGGCCTTTTTGAAACTGGACTTTGTCTTGACCTGGTTTTCTTACCCTAGAGGGCTGTGCGGTTGCCAAAAGATCCTGGACAAACACACACAGGAAAGTAAGTTTGTCACATATGGTGGAGAATGCGGGCACTGCACTAAAGAAGCCTGTGGGTATTAACTGGAAGCCAAACAAGCCTGTAGAAATATGGAGGAAGTTGTGAAAGTCTTGTTGCAAACTACAGCTGCACAGCAAAAGGCTACAGCCGTACAGCAGGAGGCTACAGCGCACAACAGGAAAATATTACAGCCCTACAGCAACTGGTAATTACGCAAAAGGCCAACACAGATGCTTTGATCCAGCAGGTTATGGCAGCCCAAGCTGAGGCAAACCGCCTGCTCAGAGAGGAGCAACATCAGGCCACCAGTATGATACAGAAGGAGATACAGGCTTTGACCAAGGGACTGACCAGAGTCTCGGATGGGACGCAGTCCGAGGTTAAAATGATCAGAGCCAGCCGTTACCTGCAGAAGATGACACCTACAGATGATGTGGAAGCATACCTGCTAGCTTTTGAGAGGACAGCTGAGAGAGAAGAGTGGCCGGTGAGTGAGTGGGCAAGCATACTGGCACCTTTTCTTATTGGAGAAGCCCAGAAGGCTTTCTATGACCTGGAACCAGCACAGGCAGGGGTCTACTCCAAATTGAAGGCTGAGATCCTCGCACGACTTGGTGTGACTATGGCAGTTCGTGCCCAAAGATTTCATGCCTGGACTTTCAACCAAGAGAAGCCTATCCGCTCCCAGATGTTTGACCTGATACATCTGGCTAAGAAGTGGTTACAACCAGAAATAAATACGGCAAGCCATATCATGGAACTTCTTGTGATGGACAGATTCCTGCGGGGCTTGCCTGCTTCACTGCGTCGATGGGTCAGTCAGAGTGATCCACAAACAGCTGATGAGTTAATTGGTTTGGTGGAAAGATATGTGGCTGCAGATGACAGACAGTGGCTCAACAACACAAAGGCTAAGCAGAGAGTTAAGACTCCAGCTCCTGAAAGACCTGGTAAGATTTTTCAAGATTTCAGAGACACAGAGGAACAAGAGACATATTCTCAGGGACCCCATACGCTTATGCCTAGAAATGTTAATCCTGGAAAAGGGTTTAGGTGGGGGACAGTTAATAATATGAAATGTTTCCGGTGTAATGAACCTGGACATAAAGCTAGAGACTGTCCCTTGATTGATGAACCGATGCAATGCAATATGATTAGTCAGGATGTACAATTGTCTTGTTTGCTGAATTGTATGGAATCTGCTGTTGCCAACTGTAGTCACAATCCACAGATATGTTCCATAAGGGTGAATGGGAAAGAGGTTAGAGCTCTATTAGACTCCGGAAGTATGGCGACATTGATAACAAAATGCCTTGTACCTGAAGCCGATGTTGATGCATTTCAGAAAATTGGTATAATTTGTGTTCATGGTGACAAACGTGAATATCCTACAGCTTTGCTAAAGTTTGAAAGCCTTTTCGGTACTGTTAATCATAGAGTGGGTGTAGTGGATAAATTGGCTTATGATGTGGTATTGGGAAGAGATTTTCCCCAATTTTTAGACTTGTGGGGGTCTACAGGAAAAATAGTTCATGATTGTATAGCAAATGATTCTAGAAATGTGTTCCCTTTTTCTGACATAGAATGGGAAGGACTAGGCATAAGACCAGGGAAGGCTGAAGTCTCAAGTCACAGGCCAGCTTTAGTAGGAGATGACCAGGGCCACGATAGTCAGGAGACCGATAACGATCAGGATCAAGGCATTAACTTCCCTGAATTAGAAGTCAGTCCTGTTAACTTCAGGAAAGCGCAGTGGGAAGACCCCACTCTTGCAGAGGCCCGAAAAAATATCCAGGTTTCAACTGATGATCCAGTACAACTAGATAGAGCCCCTTCTTTTCCTTATTTTGAGGTACAGAATGATTTGATCTATAGAGTAGAGAAAAAGGGGATGGATGTTGTAAAACAACTACTTGTTCCTAAGCCCTTCAGACATACAGTCCTAAATCTTGCACACAGCCATATCCTGGGGGGACATTTAGGCATAGAAAAAACAAGAGAGTCTTACAGAGGTTTTACTGGCCTGGGGTGTTCGCTTCAGTTGCAAATTATTGTTCTTCTTGTCCTGAATGCCAACACACCGCCCCTTTTAAGGCATATCGCAGTCCTCTGGTACCATTGCCTATAATAGAAATACCTTTTGAGAGGATTGCAATGGACTTGGTGGGTCCTCTGGTAAAGTCTGCAAGGGGGCATCAGTATATATTGGTGATTCTGGATTATGCTACCAAGTACCCAGAAGCAATACCCCTACGTAACACCTCTGCAAAGACAATAGCGAGAGAACTCATGCTCATGTTTAGCCGGGTGGGCATACCAAAAGAAATTTTGACAGATCAGGGTACACCATTTATGTCTAAAGTTACAAAGGAGTTATGCAAACTACTTCAAATTAAACATCTTAGGACTTCTGTTTATCATCCCCAGACAGACGGACTGGTAGAACGGTTTAACAAGACCTTAAAAAGTATGTTAAGAAAAGTAATTGACAAAGATGGTAAGAATTGGGACTGCTTACTACCCTATCTAATGTTCTCCATAAGGGAGGTGCCACAAGCTTCTACGGGCTTCTCTCCTTTTGAGCTTCTATATGCCCATCATCCCAGAGGTCTACTAGATATAGCAAAAGAAACCTGGGAACAGGATCCAATCCGTACCGTAGTGTAATTGAGCACATAGCTCAAATGCAAGATAGGATGGCGGCTGTCATGCCAATAGTTAAAGAACATATGCAGAAAGCCCAAGATGCCCAGAAAAACAGTTATAATAAAAATGCCAGACTGAGAGTTTTTCACCCAGGAGACAGGGTACTTGTTTTGGTCCCTACAGTAGAAAATAAATTTCTAGCATCTTGGCATGGCCCATATGAGGTTATTGAACAGGTTGGAGAAGTTAATTATAAAGTGAGACAACCCGATAGGAGGAAACCTGAGCAAATATATCATATTAATTTACTAAAACCCTGGAAGGACAGAGAGGTCTTAACTACTTCAGTTGTCACTGATAAGACTAGTAGTGAACTTGAAGTAAATATACCAGACACCCTGTCCCCCCACCAGAAACAGGAAGTAAGGGACTTCATTGGTAGAAACCGGGATGTATTTTCTGTAGTTCCGGGCAGGACTAACGTTATCAAGCATGATATTGTTACAGAACCAGGGGTGAAGGTAAGCCTTAAACCATACAGAATCCCAGAAGCACAGAAAGAGGCTGTAACTGCTGAAATTAAGAAAATGTTAGATCTTGATATTATTGAGGAATCCCAAAGCGAGTGGAACAGCCCTATAGTACTGGTGCCAAAACCTGATGGCTCGATAAGATTTTGTAATGATTTTCGTAAATTAAATAGTGTGTCAAAGTTTGATGCTTATCCAATGCCTAGGGTCGATGAACTGATAGAGAGACTGGGTAAGGCTCGGTACCTGACTACTTTAGACCTGACGAAGGGTTATTGGCAAGTACCTCTTACAGACAGAGCAAAAGAAAAGACAGCTTTTTCTACATCAGGGGGATTATTCCAATATAAGGTGCTACCATTCGGGTTACATGGGGCCCCTGCCACTTTTCAGAGACTGATTGATAGGATTTTGAAGCCTCACAGCCGTTATGCGGCCGCATACTTAGATGACATAGTCATTCACAGTCCTGACTGGGCTTCACATCTTCCCAAAGTGCAGGCAGTACTGGACTCTATCCGCTTAGCTGGTTTAACTGCTAACCCATCTAAGTGTACTATAGGTTTGGAAGAGGCAAAATATCTGGGTTATTCGATTGGGAGAGGACTAGTTAAGCCCCAAACAGCAAAAGTGGAGGCCATACAAAATTGGCCACGCCCCCTCACTAAAAAGCAAGTTAGGACTTTCTTGGGACTTATTGGGTATTACAGGCGATTTATTCCTGGTTTTGCTACATTAGCAGCTCCTTTAACGGATCTCACAAAAGGTAAAGCCCCACTAGTGGTTAAGTGGTCAGTAGAGGCAGAAAAATCGTTTGTAACTTTGAAAGAGGCTTTGTGCACCCAACCGGTTCTGGTAACCCCGGATTTCACTAAAGAGTTTATTGTCCAAACCGATGCATCAGAGCTTGGGTTAGGGGCAGTTCTGTCTCAGGAAATTCAGGGTGAAGAACACCCAGTGTTTTATTTAAGTAGGAAGCTGACTCCCGCTGAGAAAAATTATTCTATAGTGGAAATGGAATGCCTTGCCATAAAATGGGCCTTAGACTCCTTGAAATATTATCTGCTGGGTAGAAGATTTAGGTTGGTCACAGACCATGCCCCCTTAACCTGGATGAGTCAAAACAAAGATAATAATGCCAGGGTGACAAGGTGGTTCCTCAGCTTACAACCATTTCATTTTACGGTTGAACATAGGCCAGGGTCTAAACATGGAAATGCTGACAGTTTGTCGCGAGAAAATTTGTTTTCTGTGGTCGCTCACCCCACTAGGTCTGAGCTGGGGGGGAGGATATGTAACAGAGTGTTGGGGATGGTGGTCAGGGGTGTATATCTGGCACCCAGACTTTTGCACAGCCACTATCCTGACATGTGGGTAAGCACATGCAGCCCCAGGGAAAGTTAAGTTTAAATGTAGTTTTTTTTCCTCTGTTGTTATTTGGGTCCCTGGGGTGGAGTATTCGGAAGAGCAGGGTGGGCCGATTCTCCACCCACTGTCAGAGTGGTTGTGCATGAGTCCAGCCCAGGTTTCCCATAGAGTTCTGGCTCACTGCCTAACGAGGTCATTAGCCTCACCTGTAGGGGCTGTGAGCAGCTATATAACTGCAGTTAAAGCAGGGTGAAGTGAGGGAAGTGTTTTGGAGGAGAAAGAAAGTGTTTTGTGGAGAAAGAAGATTTGCTGTTCATTGTATCCTGTTACTTCACAACAACAGAAAATAAACAGGCCAGAGGCCCTTTTGAAACTGGACTTTGTCTTGACCTGGTTTTCTTACCCTAGAGGGCTGTGCGGTTGCCAAAAGATCCTGGACAAACACACACAGGAAAGTAAGTTTGTCACACCACTTAGTCACAAACACTGGCCAAAATTGGTGTTTTTTTTTCTTTTTCACACACAAACAAATACTAACGCTAACTTAAGCTGTAGTTATTCTGGTGACTATAGTGTCCCTTTAAGCGTGGGTTAATAGGGAGCAAAATTCTCCCCTGGATTTACAACTAAAATAGCCTTATTATCTAGCATACACAAACTGCACGTAAAGTTGGTGAGAAACTATATCAGTAAAATCCTCTGAATATTGAATATTAAGCTGGGGTTAAAAAGGTGTAATATCCTCCTCTAACCTGGTGAGAAACTATACTAGTATAATCCTCTGGACAAGGAATACTATGTGAGAGTTAAAAGGAAGCAAATTCCTCCTCTAGATAAGGAGAACGACAAAATGGTGAATAAAAAGTCTACAGGGGGGGCGGAGCTTGCACCTGAACCAGAATGGATGCCATTCACCTCGGCTCCGCTAGAAATCACCCAAAAAGCCTATTTTTAGCAGCTAACCCGATTACCTGTACGGGTATTTCGCAGGAATACACTCAAAGCAGCCCCCGTAGCAACATATGCCATTGTTCCATGTTCCCAAGGCACAAGGAAGAACACAGATCTGGGACCTACCACGCCGCCCAAGACCTTGCCTTGGCAGCACTACTCTGCGACCTCGAGCCACCGGGACTATCCGGTAAGAGACCCACACCCCAGGCAGAGCCTGCCACCACAATGGGACGGCAGTCCAAGAGGCCGCCACCGGACGCGCCATCAGAGGCACAAGACATTGGGACATTGTTCAAGCAACAGCTCCAACCTAAAATGGTGCCACCTGGGAGCAGCATAGCCACGGAGACTCCCATGGGCCCTTCCCAGGCCGAAACACCCTTGCAGCCCGAACAGCCGAACACAAAGCAAAAAATACTGGCTGTCCCAGATGGGTCAGCTCCAGTTACCAAACGTGACTTCCAAAACCTGGTGGTGGAAATGAAACACCTATTGGCAGCTGATGTAGCTGTAATAAAGGCAGACATGCAGACGGTCACTGACCGAGTGAGAGCTACAGAGCAGGACATTGTGGATCTGAAACAAGGCATGAACACTGTACAAGATGCCATACACTCGTTGCAAACCATGCAACAATATCTCTCACGTCACTACGCCACACTAGATGACCAATCTAGGAGAAACCATCTGAAGATAAGAGGCATTCCTGACACAATAGCCTCAGAGGATCTCCCACACCTCATGAGGCGACTGGGGGCCACCATCCTACCACCTACCCTAGCCAAACAATTCACACTGGATGGAATCTATCGCCTCCCTATGTCCAACAGGGCTCTGGCAGCGGCTGTACAGGACGTCATAGCACACTGCTCACACTCCCACGATAAACGCCTCATTTGGTCAGCGCTACAAGGCAAGACACCTCATATCTTTGAAGGCTCAAGCCTAACCTTCTATCAAGATCTCACAAGGTCCACCTTACAGTGGCAGCTACCCCTCCACCTGCTTCAAGCCAACTGAGAACAGCTGGAATCAAGTACCGATGGATGTTTCCCAGGCACCTAGTGGTTAACCATGAAGGGACAGTTCACAAAATATCATCACCTGCTGAATCTCCAACACTTCTCACAGGGCCTCCCTACCCCTACAATTGCCAATGACAGGCGACCAAGCACTCACGTCTGGAACCCTTCCCAAGTTGTACCATTTGTTCCTAATGCCAGTTCGGTCTCACAACCGGGAACTTGAACTCCTTCAGGAATGCATTAACGTTTGCAGATTACTTTGTTTTCTTGTTAGCTCTTATCATTATCCTTATCGTTACAATGTTTAGTTTATCATATAGTAAAAGAAAACAAAAAATTAGTCATTAGCATAAACTTATCAATAAAACAGAGAACAGCTTCCCACCGAACACCCCCCAAGTAGTGTTAAGTCTAAACAAGCCGATTAAAATAATACACATGGGATACAGCTGTTAAACCTAAAATGTAATAAAACAAAACATAGCATAATACAGTTGATAAATATATAATAATCCCTGCTAAAGATTGCACTTACAGCATTTGAAGTTAAATGTGCTCTAATTGTGCTTCCCCTGATGTTTGGGGGGCTAGTATCTCCCTCTCAGGATCAGGTGTCACCCAATTTCAGAAACCATGCAGGACTCTGACAGGTGGATCAGTAGAAAAAAGATTTATTGATTACAATTTAAAAGTAGTGATTAAAAAGCAATTTTGGTTTTATGCGTTTTGTCCTCTAATTGGACTTCCTCAGAGACCAATATTCAATAAAAACAATCACAATAATAATGTTTCCCAAAAAGCAGCCTAATACCACCCTCCCATCAGTCCCATTAAATAGGGCTAATCGCTTATAGTTTATGTGATTTCAGGGGGTGTCTTCCTTTTCATTCTTCCTATTGGTGGTTCTTGGGTTAGTTTCACCTGTCCCTGGTCGAGGATAATGAGTGTTGTAGTCTAAGCTGTTCAATATTTTGAAATCGGCGAAAAAACGGAAGTGACATCATCCACCTACTTCCTTGTGTTCCAACATGCGTTCCAACTATACTTTCCATTGCAATATGACAGAGTGGATCGATCTCACCCTGATGGTCTCCAGGGGAATCAAACCTCACAAGAACTTAATGCAGTTAATCTACATAAAATTGAGAATTCTATCTAGGCAGAAAAGCATCATTAGATCAATCTGATAATTCAAATAAAAAAAGAGGATTGGTCACAGAAAACAGATCAGGTCTATGTCAACATTCAATCCCTGTGGTTCCAAAACATATAGGGATATACATGCTCTCCTTTTACCTCTTGTCTAATGTCTATTCCTTATCCTGAGAAAGACTATGACTTTTTATTAAACAAGATGGTTTATAATATTTTATAGACTCAAGGGCTTATAATATAATAAACTGGACATACACTTTGGTATAATAATTTAATGGATATCAATAGCCATTTTGTTAACAGTCAGTTATTAATATCCAGCAATAACCCAAAATCTAGGGTATAACATATTAGTATAATTTTCCATTTCCTTTTAGGGTTTTGTTGTGTATTATTTTTGTAGAAAATGATCAAGGCACTCCAATAGCTTGAAAAAAGCCCTGTTGGGGCTGAAACGTTGCTTTGTAGTTCCTGGTCCAAATAAATTGCCTTAAGAATTGGAAACTACTGGAGTGCCTTGATCATTTTCTACAAATTTATCC